ATCACTGGTTTTGACACATCAAACTCTCGGCTTACACTGTCACATTTACAGAAATGTCAATTAATACATATATATTTTAGGTAATTTTAATTGAAATAAAACACTGTGCTTTTACAAAACATGGTATGCATTGCTACCAGTAATGACATATCAGTGTTTGTTTTAGCTGGCATTAGTTATGATGAAATACAAGCTTCATCACTGCCCTTTGCCCTTTAGGACGTGGCCTGGTTGTTGTCAATCAAAGAGTCCTTTTTTCCTCAGAAAATCCACTTTACACAGGAACACAGTTTGAAGTGTTGTCCTGGTCAGATAATTAGTGTGAGAACATGATAACATTAGTGTGTGATAACCCAAAAGGGTCAACTGTGTGTTGAGTGATTGGGAGACTGTACATAAATGAGCTTTCTTGTTGTGGTTACAAATGTTATTTTCTCTGATGAAATGGAAACCCATTAGATGAAGCAAGTTGATGCAATTTCAAGTACAGGCTGAGGTGTCACTTTTCTGTTAAAATACAAAAGACCTTTAACCTTGATATTCCACGACATTAGCAGACTGTGTCACTGCTGGAGGTGTGTCACACACAGAAAGATAATGCAGTTCAGTTAGATAACAAGTCCAGTCCAGTTCAAACACAAACAAATCAAGATTCAAAATATAATCCTACCATTCTACGTATAAACAATGTCACACAATTTCTGTTTTGTTTTAGGAACATGTCTAATCTTGTGTGACAATCAGCCAAATAAGCTGCTAAAATGCAGTTCCATTACGGACATCACAGGCATTAATGATATATGTCGTGTTCATGTATTGCAGACGTGATGGACCACAATGATCAAACTACACGTACCAACTAAGGTCACAGGCTGCAACAACCCAAAATGCTGAGCCTCTCTTTACTGAACCTCCAGGGTAAAGAGGCAGAGGACGGACGGGGAAGTGAAACAGAGATTCAACTAGAAGCATGAGGTAATACAGTAAACTATCTGACACAGCAGAGGAAGAGGTCATGTCTTATGTCTATAAGGAGCCACTGTGACAGAGGGCATCTTCAGACGCTGTGAACGAAAGTGACCCATTAGCCGCGTTCACACCAACTACTTTGCCGTACTTAGTTAAATTGTAAATAAGCCATCTGTATGTCAAATATGTCTTATATGTCTTAAATGATATGATGAATTGGAAATGGGGGACCCTGATGTAAACAAGACGAAAGTCTTTCTCTGGTCTGCATCCCCTTAACAATTGTATGTTTTGAGCTGTACCGTACTGTACCCAATATACAAGCTGTTAATACACTTTTCAATCAATCAATCAATCAGTTCCCAGCACTTACTTCCCAGCACTTAGTTCCCAGCACTTAGGGTGCGTTCACACCTGCCTTGTATAGTCCGGTTGAATCGAACCCTGGTGCGTTTAGCCGCTTGGTGCGGTTCATTTGGGTCGGTGTGAACACAATCCGAGACCTCTGAAGTGAACTAAACAACCGGACTCTGGTCCGCTAAAATAGGTGGTCTCGGAGCGCTTGCTTGCGAACTCTGGAGCGGTTCATTGCTGGTGTGAACGCAGTCCGCACCAAAACATAGGAAGCGTAGTATTTTACGTGTCACAAGAACGCGGATGTCTTCAAAATCTTTAGCGAAAGAGTCTTTCAAGACATCCGCGGTTGTTTAGTTAAAGAGTGAAGCAGAATGAAGTGTTGAACAGTGTCGTGTACACTTGTCGTGTAAAAATTCTCCGTAAACTACATAAAAGTAAGAACACCTGTCGTCGGTGAAACGCCCCTCCTGACTGTAGAACGTCTCTCATTATATGTGTTATAATGTTTTTTAACGGACGTTGTCTGAGTGATTATATAATCATATGCGCGGGCCGCTAGTGTCTGTTGATCTCCAGATTAACAGCAGCATGAGAATAACCTGCCGAAAGTGCCGATGCTCCATGGCGGAGGCTCCGGTAGAAATTGCCGGGATTTGCGTTTTTACCCCCTCAATCTCTGACCAATGGTTGAACTGCATTTACGTGCACATGACTTGTGTTTAAAGTTTATAGTCCGTTTGAGTTTTGCCAGTGTGAACGCAAACCGAACCTTCTGAAAAATGAAACAATGTAACAAACTGTGGTCTGGTGCACACCAGAAAACGGACTATTAGGTGTGAATGCACCCTTAGTTCCCAGCACTTAGTTCCCCTATGGAACTAAGAGCCGATCGCGTTCACACCGGAATAAGTTCCCTGAAGGAAGATTACGCAAATGAGCCGCTGACGTCACTTCGTCTTCTTCTGCTTTGGGTTTACTGGCAGGCCGCAAACAACTTCACGCCGTATACTGCCACCCGAAGTCCCCGGCCGGAAGTCCCCGGAGTTAGGGACTGGCTTCAGTAGAAGCCTTCCGAGTAAATCGACAGAACGCCGACACCTCCTCATCTCCACCGCTCCCATGTTTTCTTTTGTGTTGCCATAAGTTAGTCTCTCTGTGTTTGTGCGCTGGGCTAATGCTAATAATGCTAATGCGAGGATAATAACATGGCGGCTCTACAAAACATTTCAGAGTTTTACGGGGCGTGGTTTGCAATACTCCGGTGTGAACGCGCCTATTGTTGTTGTTCCCTGGATTTCTTTGGTTTAGTTTGTATGATCTCATCCCTCCTAACAGGCAAACATATGTTCAGACGAGTCAGCGAGGTTACTGCCGTTTGTCTGTGGGTCAAGATTTGTTGAACTGGGAAGTGGAGTACACCATTGAGTGTTTTTCCTGCAACGTAACCACCATCATCTAGTTCTGAGTCAGAGTGCTATCAGCTGATGGATGAGGTTTTGCCAACAGAGCCAGATGTCTGAGTTTTTAGGCCTGTCTCAATATAATGAAGGAGTCAGGTTTTATAGCTTATGCATGACCATCAACAAAAACAGCTGAGTGTCACATCCCCCTTTACCAAGTTCTGGGTAAAAGGTCATCGTATACATATTTTAAGGTTAAATGTCAAAAGCCTGATGAAGGAGTTTAAGCTGTGCAGAAAATGTATTGGTTGTGAAAACAAGCTCCTAACTTAAGGATTAGCTTCACATGTTTAGAAGTATGTTTGTTGGCACTCTTGCAGATATATAAATAAGAAGATTAATACCACTCTCATCATGCATGGGTGTTAAAATGAAGCTACAGTACAAAGACTGAAATCAGGGGTAAGAGCTATCCTGGCTCCGTCAAGACTTTAAAAAACAAAGCCTACCAGAATGTCTAAACCTTGCTAATTAAGTCTCAGAAACAACCCTCTGTAATAAACACAACTTGACATTTTTACAACTTGTTTATTTATACAGATCTAACAATCTTGATCCAACTTGTGTTGTTGGTTTCACTTGTGGACAGAGCCTGGCTAGCTGTGTCCTGTCTTCATATGTATTTGTTTTATATATCCTCGTGTAACCAACGAGGCATTACTGCAAACGTACTGTATCTTCAGACAGCTGAACATATTTTATAAAGTTTGAATGATTCATGGGGCTAATTTATTTAAAAACGTGCTTTGGTATGTTCTTCTTTTAAAAATAACTTTCCGTTCATACATTCATAAATTGTTCAGAATGATGTCTGACAAACATATAACTGTAGAATCTTTTTTTTATAAATACAATCATGAGTAAGAATGCATATTACACAATGTTTCTTCAGGATGCTTTAGTCACCAAATGTTTTCACCTGTCTTGCTATAACAAGTAATTATAGGTGATGCACAGTAAACACATGAGCTTCAGTGCAGCTCATAATGTGTTTACTGCTTGAATGTGTCTTTCTTTGTTCCCCATGTCCACTTTCCCCAGTCTGATTGTACAATGCAGAGGAGAAGAGGGGCCATTGATCCAGATTGATTTTCATTTTAAATACACCCGAAACCTTCCAATTTAACTTCATTATAAATCAGGGCTGTGTGTGAGCTTGGAGGGTTAACGGTGAGTGTGTGACAGCTGGGGGCAAAACACAGGAATGTTGTTTGCCATGGGGTAAGGCAGCGTGGGAGCGACCTGGCAGCAGGGATGGAGACACAAAAGGAAAACTAAAAAACAAGGTGGAAGCACGAGGAGTTTCAGACTAACAGAGACAAATCTGAACATGCCCTCTCCCAGACCCATAACGGAATCTTACAAGGGTGTGGAAGGGGGAGCTAGATTTTGCAACCAGATACCGAATAAACAAGAAAGGATTTGTACTCCACTCTTTTTTATGTGGAGCTTTTAGAGAAAGTCCCTCTTTATAACTGTCAAAAGCGAAATTCATGCATTGAAAAAGGCTGCTGTCCTGCATACATCTGTACAAGATAACATGCTGTGACTCTGTATGTTCAGCAGGTGGCACTAATTCTCTTCAAAGAATAATTATGAAGTAATACAAAAAGTCTATAATGATATTCGGCACATCGTTTCTATTTCCATTACAACATTTAAACAGTCTTATTGTTGTGTTTTATTTTTTACATAAATATGAAGTAGATCAATTGTGGGTACTTGCCTTGATTTGCAAGAAAACATTTTACATCATCAAACCTAACCGAAACTAATTTCACATCTTTGTAAAAAACACAAAAGACTTAATAATAATAATAATAATAATAATAGATTTAATTTGTTAGCACTTTTACAGGTGTTCAAAGACGCTTTACAGATATAGTGAAGATAAAATAAAATAAAGGAACAACAAATAAATATATAGTTAAAGTTAAAGTCAAATAATACAAAAACAATCACACATTAAAAGCCAGATTGAAGAGGTGAGTTTTTGTGAGTGTTTTGAAGGTGGTGAGGTCAGTGCAGTCTCTGATGGGTTGTGGGAGTGAGTTCCAGAGGGAGGGGGCAGCGACGGAGAAGGCTCTGTCCCCCCAGGTCCGGTGATTGATGCGGGTGGGGATGGATAGGAGGTTGGCTTCTGATGAGCAGAGGCAGCAGGGAGGGGTGTGGGTGGTGCAGCAGGTCTGTGAGGTAGGGGGGGGGGGGGCTGATTGTTGAGGGCTTTGTGAGTAATCAGGAGGACTTTGAAGTTGATTCTTTGACGGACGGGGAGCCAGTGGAGGTTCTGGAGGACGGGAGTGATGTGGTCTCGGGAGCGGGTGTGGGTGAGGAGGCGGGCTTGCAAGTTTATGTTTCAAATGTTAACATTATATCCATAAAATAGGAAGAGACAACACTTAATATGATGTATTTATATGTTTAACATAATGTACTTCATATACTTAAAACATTTATAACTGGTTAGCTTGTGTTGTCGTTTTGTTCATTTTGTGTGCTGGGGTCAGATTATTGTGTTTCTGTTGATGCAGTTTCTTTCCCTTTAAGGTGAGGGGGAGGTTGACTTATGTTGATTTGGCGTAGCCCTCGTAGAGGGAGGTGAGGCGGGCCTGGAGGACCTGAGCGTAGGGGTCCAGCTTTACTTTCAGATCCTCAACGTATGGGGCGGCCATCTTTTGCACCTGATTGGCTCTCTGAATCAGCTGACGGTGAACCTTCTCGGTCACCGGGGCCATGCGCTCCTGGAAGTCCTGCAGGTGCTGGTCCACCTTCAGCTTCAGGTCATCGGTGTAGGGCCCGAGCTGAACCTGCAGGTCCTTCACACTCTGCTTCAGCTCCTCGCTCTTCTGCTCCAGGGCGGCTCTCAGGGCCTCGGTGTCAAGGGACTCAGCATAGGGGGCCAGCTCCTGTTTGAGCTGCTCCACTCTCTGCTGGATCTGGGCCTCCATGTTGTCGGTGTATTGCTTCAGGACAGGGGTCAGCTCCCTTTCCACACGCCTGGTCTCTCTGTTGACTTTGTGGATCATGTCTTTAGTTGCAGGGGGAAGCTGCTTGTGCACGGCGGAGGCAAAATAGAAGGCCACCATGAACCCTTCTCCCAGACGGTTACTAGAAAGGAGCGAGAACAATGGGATGTTACCTTTAATTTGAATTCAGTGAGGAGAAATTGCATATCAGTTTGCAGTATACTTTTTTTTGTTTGCATCATTAGAATTTCGACAATGGTAACAATGGTCTTGTCTAGACTTACTTGACATGCTTGCCAAACTGTGATTTATTGATCATCTGGAGGGTGTCTTTAGCTGTCTCTTTTGCCGTTGCAACATAGTCATGGAAGGCTTCAGTCAGCAATTCAATCTGTGGCTTGGGTGCATCAGCATAGAATATGTTGGCATTGCAGCCTGTTGAACAGAAATAAAAACATTTTGAAGAACAGTTGGAAGGTTCAAAATACTTCAGAGTTTTCAGGTATTTTAACCCAACAAATATTCAGAAGGAATCCAAATCCAAATTTGTGGAGGAAACTTCTGTGTAGCAATGCAGTGGGAGTCACCGACTCATGAAGGAGACACGGGACGAGCAGGAGTTCTGATGTCAAACACTGATATTTAATACAAGCATCAGCCGGAGAAATTCACATCACAAGTCACACTGCAAGGTTCTGACTGCACGGGTGGTTTGCCATGTCAAATATGATCAGCCTCACATCTTGGTAGACCTTTTAACTAGTTTACAGAGACTCAAATCCACATATTGGGGATGGGCGTAGATATCTACAGACACAGGAGATGTCTCTCACATCTGTGAATCTTAGAAAGCCAGTGCTCTCACACTCGCAAAACCCCCCTATGCCCTGCAGGTCAGGCCATAAAACCTAGTATCAACATACGACTGCATTAACACATTCCTTACGGGAGATTAGAAGCAGGGATGGTCGTAAATGTCAACACACAAAATAAGGTTAAATGTCTAGGAGTAAAGACAAAATTAATCCCTAACAAAATCCAAGAGGCATGTGTGAGTGCGTGTGAATGAGCATTAGGTTGGATGATGAGCAGTCTGGCTCCTTATATGGTCACCCATACAAGGTTCCATATCAGTACACATGTATTAATGTGTGTGTGAATCGGTTAATTTCACATCCAAGGAATTTCTGGGTGTTATTCAAAAGTCATTTGAGTGGTCCAATAATCTCATTGCAATTCTATATTTTTCCTTGAAGTCTTTTGACTTGAGCGTCACGCTCCAAAACAAATAGGGATATTTTTCCACAGTACTCACCAGTGAAAACGGCAAGTACGAGCACAACAAGGACCTTCATGGCTCTTATATCTTAATAACAAGGAGATACAAAATTATCAAATCATGTTCACTAAGATTTAGTTTAAAAAGAAAAAATACAGAAGCTACTCCGAGCCAATCCTTCATCATCTCACCTGAGTTTGTTGTTGTATCTGCAAATCCACTTGGCACTGCTTGTGTTGAGCCGGTAAGGTTCTGCAGCTTATAAAGCAATCCGGACTCTAATGATCCCAAAGTACAGTGGCTAGTATCTTGCTGTCACCTTGCCTCACCCTGCTATCCTCACAGACACCCAGTGCCAGACACCACACAGCAATCATGCACAACTCCAGATTGTTGCACCAATGCACAGACACACCAAGCAAATCATTTATTTTAAACAGTTCCATATGTCAGTTATCTTCTACCAAACAGTATTAATTTAGTTATGTGCCTTTTTATATTTATTTGGCCTAAATATGGGTGTTTCCTCGGTGTTAGAGTGTGACTAAATCCTCAAGTGTAACCTTAAATGGGCCTTGTCCTCAAAAGCCCTCCTGTCCTCAAAGGTATGTCAGTCACACAGCTCTTGCCTGGTTCGAGTCCTACCTCTCGAACTGGAAACACTTTGTCACCATCAGTGACTGCAGTTCCCCTTCGGCCTCAGTCAACCAAGGTGTACCTCAAGGCTCTGTGCTTGGACCCCTCCTCTTCACCATTTACATAAACCCACTTGGTCAAATCCTCCGCCACCATGGTCTCAGCTTTCACTCATACGCTGATGACACACAGCTCGATCTCTGCACCAAACCATCCACTCAGCTCCCCCTTCAACCCCTTGTCAACTGCCTACAGGATATAAAAAACTGGATGTCATCAAACCTGCTCAAACTAAAGAGCAATATAACAGCTCATGATTGTGGCTCCCAAGGCGCAGCTCCGGAAGGTCGGAGATCGGCTCCTCTCCATTGACGGCTGCTCCATCTCTCCGTCCACTGAAGTCCTCAACCTGGAAGTCATCCTGGACACCACCCTCTCCTTCCAAGCTCACATCAAATCTGTCACCAAATCTGCTTTCTACCACCTCAAAATCATTTCCAGACTACGGCCTTCACTCTCTGACTCCGTGGCAGAAACACTGCACGCTTTCATCACCTCCCGCCTCGACTATTGCAATGGAGTCCAGTCCGGGGTTCCCAGCAAAGCCCTGGAGAGATTACAGTACGTCCAGAACTCTGTTGCCAGGCTTCTCACCCGCACCAAGCCCTGGCAACACATCACCCTCACCCTAATCCACCTTCACTGGCTGCTGGTCAAGTCCCGGATTCAGTACAAAACACTCCTCCTCACTTACAATTCTCTCCATGCCCTCGCCCCCCAGTACTTATCGGACCTCCTCCATCCCTACACCCCTTCCCGGAGTCTGCGGTCCTCAGACACGGGCCTGCTCTCCATTCCCCGCTCTCGGCTCCGAACTGTTGGTGACCGGGCGCTCAGTGTTGCGGCCCCCACCATCTGGAATACACGGAGAGATCCGCAATGCTGCTTCCCTGGACTTCTTCAAGTCATCATTAAAAACTCACCTGTTCACCATGGCCTTTGACCCCTAACCCATCACAGTCCCCCTGCTTCTGATCCTACTGCTATTTATTTCATTTAAAAGGTTTTACTTTATTATTTGCCCCTTTTGTTTGTTTGTTTGTTTGTTTGTTCACCATGTAAAGAGGCCTTGGGTCCCTTGAAAGGCGCTTTATACAAATTGAATCTATTATTATTATTGTAATCACTTTTATGTTATTTCTGCGTCGCCACAGATAACACTTTGCCAGGATTGGTAAAATCCCTCTTCTTATGTCTCTGATGTCCAGCTCTGATTAGATTTATAGTGGTTGATTTATTGTCACTATTAGCTTTCCATGTTGCCAACCAACGGCACAGCTTATGGTTCTAGTCTGTGTCATGCTATGAGTCCTATGGGTCAGTTTGGCCAAAGGTCTGCAGACACCAACACCGTCAGCTTTCAGAGGACAAAGTACAGTAGCCTCAGTTTCACACAAGGCATACTATATATGCAACATTTTAGTTTCATCAATTTTTTCTATAGAGAGGATAAGCTCCTACTCACAATGTCTTAGACTTGAAAATGTAACATTTTAATGAAACAAATGTCATCATTTTGCCATGACAGTATTCTAAGACTTTTGTACAAGTGGGCTAAACTTGATATGTATATATTTTCTACTTCTTTTGGTATTCAAAATACGCATAGCGCCCATGCAAAACCGGCCTTAGTCTATAGAATTGCTGCTTGAACAACTCGTAGAAACAACTTAACCCTCGACACTGCCTTCTCTTTGAGTCCTTATGATAAGTTGTGGCTTCTTGCATTTCTAAATGTATGTATCGGGTTCCAATAAGAGATAGGCACTGGCTTTGAGATATCCGGTTATAAGGTAAATCAAGGATTTAATTAGCTTGAACATTTTGCCTTTAGAAATGCCCTTAGTTTAAGTCGTTCGTCTCAAGGTCTGTTGCACCTATTTGAAACACATTCCCGTATTAATGTTGATGGAATATCTCTTTGTCAAAAAACTCAAACTTCATGGGAGATACAGTATTTTGTTCATAGTGTTATAGGTCAGAACAGCAAACTTGTGAAGTTGGGTTGTAATGTGTGTATATCCAGCAGCTATTGTGACTGAACTGGGTGGGTAATAGCCTGCTGCAGACATGATGACATGATCGTCAAGAAAATGGAACTACAACTTCCCTATTCCAAGTAAAAGCTTACTACTTTATCTAAAACTGGCTCTAATCCATGGTGCCTGGCTGTGTTTTGATTCTAAACATTGCTTGCTACCTGTAGAAATTAATAGACATTGTTGATTGTATTTATTTGTTGTTATGTTGTGGTGTGGTATTGACTCTTTAGTTAATATGTTACTGTACTTTTGTTTTCTGCTTCTTGTTGCTCTGCATTGCTTCGGTATTGTCCTGAGAACGTCCGTATTTAGTTTCTGTCATTGTCTTTTTTGTGTCTTGAAATCCTCTGTCTGTAAATCACTGGTTTTGACACATCAAACGCTCGGCTTACACTGTCACATTTACAGAAATGGTAATTAATACATGTTGTAATTTCCTTGTATTTTAGGTAGTTTTAATTTAAATGAAACAATGTGCTTTTACAAAACAAATATTCATTGCTACCAGTAATGACATAATCTAAGGATTAGCTGCACATGTTTAGAAGTACGTTGGTTAGCAGTCTTGCATATATAAATAAGAAGATGAATACCACTCTCATCATGCCTGGGTTTTAAAATGATGCTACAGTACAAAGTCTGAAATCAGGGATAAGAACTATCCTGGCTCCGTCAAGACTTTAAAAAACAATACCTACCAGAACCTCTAAACCTTGCTAATTAAGTCTCAGATAAAACCCTTTGTAGCCCTCTGTAGTAAACACAACTTAATATTTGTACAACTTGTTTATTTTCACAATCTAGATCCAACGTGTTGAGTACGTGTTGGTTTCACTTGTGGACAGGAGATACAGAGTGACTAAGTTATGAAAAACATGCCAGTCTCTTTTAGTATGTTCTTCTTTTCAAAATAACTTTCTTTTATTTTCTATAAAGACAATCATTAGTTTCTTACTTAAGAATGTATATTACACAACATTTATTCAGTACACTTTAGTTACCAAATGTTTTCACCTGTCTTGCTTTCACGAGTAATTATAGGTGATGCAAAGTAAACTCATGAGCTTCAGTGCAGCTCATAATGTGTTTTCTGCTTCAATTTGTCTTTTTTGTTTTTCATGTCCACTTTCCCCAGTCTGATTTCACAATGCAGAAAAAACATCTGATTTTCAGATTTTCAGAATCTACCAATCTATGTTCCCTTTTCATTAATTTACTAACACAGTTCGTAACCTCCAAATCATTATTTTCTTTAAAGATCTATAACTGGTTAGCTTGTGTTGTCGTTTTGTTCATTTTGTGTCCCGGGGTCAGATTATTGTGTTTCTGTTGATGCAGTTTCTTTCCCTTTAAGGTGAGGGGGAGGTTGACTTATTTGGATTTGGCGTTGGCCTCGTAGAGGGAGGTGAGGCGGGCCTGGAGGTCCTGGGAGTAGGGGTTCAGATTTACTCTCAGATCCTCAACGTATGGGGCGGCCATATCTCGAACCTGAATGGCTTTCTGTATCAGCTGATCTTGAACCCGCTCGGCCACGGGGGCCACACGCTCCTGGAAGTCCTGCAGGTGCTGGTCCACTTTCAGCTTCAGGTCATCGATGTAGGGCCCGAGCTGAGCCTGCAGGTCCTTCACACTCTGCTTCAGCTCCTCGCTCTTCTGCTCCAGGGTGGCTCTCACAGCCTCGGTGTCAATGGACTCAGCGTAGGGGGCCAGCTTCTGTTTGAGCTGCTCCACTCTCTGCTGGATCTGGACCTCCATGTTGTCAGTGTAGGGCTTCATGATGTCCTGGGCAGCGGCCAGCTCCCTTTCCACACGACCCTTCAGCTCTTTGGCCTCTCTGATGACTTTGTGGAACATGTCCTGACTTGCAGGGGGAAGCATCTCGTGCATGAAGAACAAAGAATGGGCGGCCACACATTTAGTTTCTTCCAGATGTTCACTAGAAAGGAGCGAGACAAATGGGATGTTACCTTTAATTCGAATTCAGTGAGGAAAAATTGCATATCAGTTTGCAGTATACCTTTTTTTGTTTGCATCATTAGAATGTCGACAATGGTAACAATGGTCTTGTCTAGACTTACTTGACACCCTGGAAAAACGGTGATTTATTGATCATCTGGAGGGTGTCATCAGCTGTCTCTGTTGCCTTGGCGACATAGTCCAAGAAGACCTCAGTCAGCAATTCAATCTGTGGCTTGGGTGCATCAGCATATAAGATGTTGGCATTGCAGCCTGTTGAACAGACAGAAAAAACAGTTTTGAAGAACAGTTGGAAGGTTCAAAATATTTCAGAGTGTTTTCAGGTATTTTAACACAAAAAATATTCCGAAGGAGGTAAAGTGGCACTAACTTCCAAATCCCAGAGGCATGTGTGAGTGTGTGTGAATGAGCATTAGGTTAGATGATGAGCAGTCTGGCTCCTTATGTGGTCACCCATACAAGGTTCCATATCAGTACACACCAGTGTATTAATGTGTGTGTGAATCGGTTAATTTCCTATCCAAGGTATTGCTGGGTGGACCAATGATTTCAATTGTCCAAAAATCTCATTGCAATTCTATATTTTTCCTTGAAGTCTTTTGACTTGAGTGTACCAGTTGATGTCACGCTCCAAAACGGGATATTTTTCCACCATAGTCACCTGTGAAAACGGCAAGGACGAGCACAACAAGGACCTTCATGGCTCTTATATCTTAATAACAAGGAGATACAAAGATAATTAGCAAAGCATGTTCACTGAGATTTAGTTTAAAAAGAAAAAATTCAGAAGCTACTCCGAGGCAATCCTTCATCATCTCACCTGAGTTTGTTGTTGTATCGGCAAATCCACTTGGTACTGCTTGTGAGGTTCTGCAGCTTATAAAGCAATCCGGACTCTAATGATCCCAAAGTCCAGGGGTGAGTGTCTTGCTGTCACCTTGCCTCACCCTGCTATCCTCACAGAAACTCAGTGCCAGGCACCACGCAGCAATCATGCACAACCCGATATTGTTAAACCAATGCACAGACACACCAAGCAAATCAGTTATTTTAGACAGTTTCATATGTCAGTTATCATCTTCCAAACAGTATTGATTTAGTCATGTGCCTTTTTATAATTATTTGGCCTGATTATGTGTGTTTCCTCTGTGTTAGAGTGTGACTAAATCCTCAAGTGTAACCTTGAATGGACCTTGTCCTCAAAAGCCCTCCTGTCCTCAAAGGTATGTCAGTCGCACAGCTCTTGCCTGGTTTGAGTCCTACCTCTCAAACCGGAAACACTTTGTCACCATCAGTGACTGCAGTTCCCCTTCGGCCTCAGTCAACCAAGGTGTACCTCAAGGCTCTGGGCTTGGACCAACCTGATCTCACCAGAATGCATGACTCAACCAATACTCCTTAACACCGCATTGCGTGGTGGAGTCACAAACTTTGCTACATATACGTGTCTGCACCACGCAAACAACCCCAATGTAAAGTGAATGAGGCTCCTTTGTCGTGGTACACACACGCATTTCTACAATGTCCTACAGTGAGCTTTTATTATATTAAACGTTTTTAAAATCTACTTTATAGCTTGTGGTAACTCACGGGAGGCTTCTTTTATTTTATTTGTATTCATAATCATTTGTATTTTTCATCAGAATGTATTATGACAACCCTGTCTCCTAAAGATTACGTTCCCACAGAACAAAACTGCATTCTCAATTACGTTTAGCTAGAAACTTATTTTCTCCCACGTTACGTTCGTTATGAACGTATCTCAAATACGTTTATTTTCTACATATCTTTGCCATTTATTGTCTTGCTTATATTAATGATAATAGTCATTTATAAATATCATTTTAGAGCACACATTTGAAATCAGTAGGCGAGGCTGTAATTTCGCCAGCTGTTACTCTCATGACACCTCAAAAACATATCCAGACTACGGCCTTCACTCTCTGACTCCATGGCAGATACACTCATACACGCTTTCATCACCTCCCGCCTCGACTATTGCAATGGAGTCCAGTTTGGGGTTCCCAGCAAAGCCCTGGAGAGATTACAGTACGTCCACAACTCTGCTGCCAGGCTTCTCACCCGCACCAAGCCCTGGCAACACATCACCCCCACCCTAATCCACCTTCACTGGCTGCCGGTCAAGTCCCGGATTCAGTACAAAACACTCCTCCTCACTTACAATTCTCTCCATGCCCTCGCCCCCCAGTACTTATCGGACCTCCTCCATCCCTACACCCCTTCCCGGAGTCTGCGGTCCTCAGACACGGGCCTGCTCTCCATTCCCCGCTCTCGGCTCCGAACTGTTGGTGACCGGGCGCTCAGTGTTGCGGCCCCCACCATCTGGAATGCACTGAAAGATCCGCAATGCTGCTTCCCTGGACATCTTCAAGTCATCATTAAAAACTCACCATGGCCTTTGACCCCTAATCCATCACAGTCCCCCTGCTTCTGCTCCTACTGCTATTTATTTAATTTAAAAGGTTTTACTTTGTTATTTGCCCCTTTTGTTTTTTTGTTTGTTTGTTTGTTCACCATGTAAAGAGGCCTTGGGTCCCTTGAAAGGCGCTTTATACAAATTGAATCTATTATTATTATTGTAATCACTTTTATGTTATTTCTGCGTCGCCACAGATAACGCTTTGCCAAGAATAGCAAATCCCTCTCCTTATGTCTCTGATGTCCAGCTCTGATTAGATTTATAGTGGTTGATTTATTGTCACTATTAGCTTTCCATGTCGCCAACCAACGGCACAGCTTATGGTTCTAGTCTGTGTCATGCTATGAGTCCTATGAGTCAGTTTGGCCAAAGGTCTGCAGACAACAACATCGTCAGCTTTCAGAGGACAAAGTAGCCTCAGTTTCACACAAGGCATACTATATATGCAACATTTTAGTTTCATCAATTTTTTCTATAGACAGGATAAGCTCCTACTCACAATGTCTTAGACCTGAAAATGTAACATTTTAATGAAACGATTGTTATAATTTTGCCATGACAGTATTCTAAGACAGTTATACAAGTGCGCTAAACTTGATATGTATATATATTCTACTTCTTTTGGTATTCAAAATACGCATAGCGCCCATGCAAAACCGGCCTTAGTCTATAGAATTGCTGCTTGAACAACTCGTAGAAACAACTTAACCCTCGACACTGCCTTCTTTTTTAGTCCTTATGATAAGTTGTGGCTTCTTGCATTTCTAAATGTATGTATCGGGTTCCAAAAAGAGATAGGCACTGGCTTTGAGATATCCGGTTATAAGGTAAATCAAGGATTTAATTAGTTTAAGTCTATCGTCAAGCAAATGTATTAACAGTCTGTATTAATGTTGATGGCATATCTTTTTGTCAAAAAACTCAAACTTCATGGGAGATGCAGCATTTTGTTCATAGTGTTATAGGTTATAACAGCAAACTTGTGAAGTTGGGTGGTAATGTGTGTATATCCAGCAGCTATTGTGACTGAACTGGGTGGGTAATAGCCTGCTGCAGACATGATGACATGATCGTCAAGAAAATGGAACTTCCCTATTCCCAGTAAGATCACTACTTTATCTAAAACTGGCTCTAATCCATGGTGCCTGGCTGTGTTGTGTTGCTAAACATTGCTTGCTACATGTAGAAATTAGTTGTTGATTGTATTTGTTTGTTTTAATGTTGTGGCGTGGTATTGACTCTTTATTGTATATGTTACTGTACTTTTGTTTTCTGCTTCTTGTTGCTCTGCATTGCTTCGGTATTGTCCTGAGAACGTCCGTATTAGGTTTCTGTCATTGTCTTTTTTGTGTCTTGAAATGCTCTGTCTGTAAATCACTGGTTTTGATACATCAAACGCTCGGCTTACACTGTCACATTTACAGAAATGGTAATTAATAGGCCTACATGTAGTAATTTTCTTTTCTTTTAGGTAGTTTTAATTAAAATAAACACTGTGCTTTTACAAAACAAATATGCATTGCTACCAGTAATGACATATCAGTGTTTGTTTAAGGCCCTGTCACACTGTCCCGAAATTGACACCCGATGGACACACGATAAAGGAAATGTTAAAATTCGGCTGTGATCGTAGCAACATCGGGCCATTCGTGAGGGCATCTAAGCCATCGTATGACCGCCGGTGGAGTTTCTCAGGCTCCGGCAGCAACTTCGTGAGCGGCAACTTCGTAAGGCACTCGTGAGGGCATCTTGTCAAATCGTGTCATCTTCGTGTTATCATCGGTGCATTCGCCCTCACTCTGATCGGGGCGAATGCCCGATGGCACCGATGATAACAAGATGCCCTCACGATGGCCTTACGAAGGGCAACATTTACACACGAATTCAACACGAAAATGAACCTTCGCAAGGTCCTTCGGCAATTTTTTGGCATGCCAAAGATTTTGCCACCGCTCGCGAAGTTGCTGCCGGAGCCTGAGAAACTCCACCGGCGGTCATACGAAGGCTTAAGATGCCCTCACGAATGGCCCGATGTTCCCACGATCACAGCCGAATTTGAACATTTCCTTTATCGTGTGTCCATCGGGTTGTTTTATTGCACAACAAAATCATGTAAATATATTATGTAAATAACCCAATTTGTGTTCTGTGAAACTAAAAAGGATATAATATATTATTTTGAAGGACAGTTGACAGGAAGTTGTTGTTGTTATGGAAACAACATTACGGAGAAAACGTAATATTTTCTACATATAACGACGGATAAAGTAAAGAACAAAGTCTGAAGATATCAGTACAGTATCATAGTACTGTAACATAATTGTTTTGGTACTTTCATTGCAGTTGTATGTCTTAAATGTAATGTAAATGTTGCCTTTGTGTGTGGTTCGGGGCCATCTTCGTGCGAAATTCACAATTCCATATTCGTGTGTCCATCGGGTGTCAATTTCGGGACAGTGTGACAGGGCCTTTAAGCTTGCATTAGTTATTATGAAATACAAGCTTCATCACTGCCCTTTGCCCTTTAGGACGTGGCCTGGTTGTTGTCAATCAAAGAGTCATTTTTTCCTCAGAAAATCCACTTTACACAGGAACACAGTTTGAAGTGTTGTCCTGGTCAGATAATTAGTGTGAGAACATGATAACATTAGTGTGTGATAACCCAAAAGGGTCAACTGTGTGTTGAGTGATTGGGAGACTGTACATAAATGAGTAGATCAGCTTTCTTCTTGTGGTTAACATTTTAATTTTCTCTGATAAAATGGTAATCCATTAGATTAAACAAGTTGATGCAATTTCAAGTACAGGCTGAGGTGTCACTTTTTTGTTTTGTTTTAGGAACATGTCTAATATTGTGTGACAATCAACCAAATAAGCTACTAAGATGCAGTTCCATAACAGACATAAATGATATATGTTGTGTTCATGTATTGCAGACGTGATGGACCACAATGATCAAACTACACGTACCAACTAAGGTCACAGGCTGCAACAACCCAAAATGCTGAGCCTCTCTTTACTGAACCTCCAGGGTAAAGAGGCAGAGGACGGACGGGGAAGTGAAACAGAGATTCAACTAGAAGCATGAGGTAATACAGTAAACTATCTGACACGACAGAGGAGGAGGTCGTGTCTTATGTCTATAAGGAGCCACTGTGACAGAGGGCATCTTCAGATGCTTTGAACGAAAGTGACGCCTGCCCAGGGGCGGACTGGGACAACAAATCAGCCCGGGACTCTCGACCGGCCCACTTCGGTACCGCCGGCCCACCGCGGTACCGCAAGAATACCGCTAGTAAATTGTCGACGGAGGGGGGGTGCTAGTGACTTAACGCAGAGGTAGACATTAAGGGTAAAATGCCTTCGGGCCGGTGGAATTGTATTATTACTGGCCCCACCATTGTAACCACTGGCCCGGAGCATTCGTCCAAAAAAAATCGACTAATAATGAAGAAAATTAACACATTTGTTGCAATAGTAATTCATGCACTAACTATCAATCAATCAATCAATGTTTATTTATATAGCCCAATATCACAAATGTTACATTTGTCTCAGTGGTCTTCACAGTTTGTACAGAATATCAGTATGACAATACGACACCCTCTGTCCTTAGACCCTCACATCGTACAAGGAAAAACTTCCAGAGAAAACCCACAGTTTAAAGGGAAAAATGGGAGAAACCTCAGGGAGAGCAACAGAGGAGGGATCCCTCTCCCAGGACGGACAGACGTGCAATAGATGCCGTGTGTAAATTGAAAAGATAATACATTTGCAACATAGGTAGTCCAAATGTTTGGAAATGCATGTGTGTATAATAGGAAGATGAATCCACGAGGATATCCATCCAGGACCTATGATCCAGGACCACAGCCACGATTCAAGATCCAGGGCTCGCGATGCAGGACACAGGACCGCAGGATCATCCATGACTCCGGATCCCAGCGTATATAAACACCAAAAAACTACATTACTACTTGTACTACAACATTTGAATCATCAGTTCTTCCTCATTTTCCTCAGTTGTTCATATTTGGTTTATTATAATAATGATATTGTGGTCATTGTTAAAAAATGTCTGCTATTATTAAGAGTATTATTATTTGTATAATGCGCTTTCTGCCTTCCTGTCATGAGGAGTTAGACATGTAATGGCTATGTAATTGATTTGATTAGAACCTTCATTATCCTAAACTGTTGGGACATTTCGCCAATACCTTTAGATTGTCTACTCTTCACTTACTTGTCAGCATAGGTCGGCATTGATGTACAGAGCCGACAGAAGACCTTGTTTATTTTGGCATCATATTGAGAGGTGCAGCCAGTGACGCATCCTAAAACCAGGAAGTAAGCTGCTGGTTCCCTCGACAAAAAGCAATGGGATTTCTCCACAGGGTTTTGGAAAATAGCTGGAAATAAGGTCTGTGGAAAACAAACCTGTTTGATAAATGCACGTTTTGTTCAGCCGGATAATCTCCACATGTCTACCCTACTTTTATAATTTTCGAATCATAAATCTAATCGATAGATTATAAAAGGGTTTTAGGATGCGTCACTGCACCACTAGAAGCCAACTCCATCGATCAGCTGGCAGAAACTTTCTCTCCCTCTTCTTCTCATACTCCCTGTCACTCTCCTTTAACTCCTCCGGTGACTTTCTTTTATTTGAAGATTGTTTTTTGCCCGGCTACCGCTGGTATTAAAAACATTTTTGGCGAATGGTTAGGTGGCGCTATAGTCTGTAGTGAAGGAGCGCGATCCCGCTCACGGGAGCCTGCTCCGCAGCAAACAGCTGTTTGCTTTTCCCCCAACAACGACAACCGACTCACGGAACGCTATGTTGTAGCGTTGATAAACGAAACAATTTAACTAAATTGCTAGTCAAAATACCAATAACATCAAAACAATTTTTTTAAGCAATATTTTTAGTGGCCCGAGCGGGCAAGTGGAAAGTACGTTATGCTGGCCCGGGGTGTCTTAATAGTGCTTCCTGGCCAGCGGGTCATTTAATGTCGAGCCCTGCCGGTTACCGGCCGGCCCACATCGTCTGACCGGCCCACTTCAATACCGGCCCATCGGGATTCGTCCCGAACGTCCCAATGGCCAGTCCGCCCCTGCGCCTGCCCCATTGTTGTTGTTCCCTGGAAGATTTATTTTAAGTTTGTATGATCTCATCCCTCCTAACAGGCAAACATCTGTTCAGACGAGTCAGCGAGGTTACTGCCGTTGTCTTTGGGTTACAAATTGTTGAACTGGGAAGTGGAGTACACCATTGAGTGTTTTTCCTGCAACGTAACCACCTCCACCTAGTTCTGATGGATGAGGTTTTGCCCACAGAGCCAGATGTCTGAGTTTATAGGCCTGTCTCAATATAATGAAGGAGTCAGGTTTTACAGCCGAGTGTCACATCCTCCTTTACCAAGTTCTGGGTAAAAGGTCATCGTATATTTTAAGGTTAAATGTCAAAAGCCTGATGAAGGAGTTTAAGCTGTGCTGAAAGTTGATAATGCCTAAATTACATCTAATCTAAGGATTAGCTGCACATATCTAGAAGTACGTTGGTTAGCACTCTTGCATATATATAAATAAAAAGATGAATACCACTCTCATCATGCCTGGGTTTTAAAATGATGCTACAGTACAAAGTCTGAAATCAGGGATAATAACTATCCTGGCTCCGTCAAGACTTTAAAAAACAATACCTACCAGAACCTCTAAACCTTGCTAATTAAGTCTCAGATAAAACCCTTTGTAGCCCTCTGTAGTAAACACAACTTAATATTTGTACAACTTGTTTATTTACACAATCTCGATCCAACGTGTTGAGTACGTGTTGGTTTCACTTGTGGACAGGAGATACAGAGTGACTAATTTATGAAAAACATGCCAGTCTCCTTTAGTATGTTCTTCTTTTCAAAATAACTTTCTTCTCATACATTCATAAAGTATTCAGAATGATGTGTGACAAATATATAACTGTAGATTATTTTTTTTATAAATACCATCATTAGTTTCTTACTTAAGAATGTATATTACACAACATTTCTTCAGCACACTTTAGTTACCAAATGTTTTCACATGTCCTGCTTTCACGAGTAATTATAGGTGATGCAAAGTAAACTCATGAGCTTCAGTGCAGCTCATAATGTGTTTACTGCTTCAATTTGTCTTTTTAGTTTTTCAAGTCCACCTTCCCCAGTCTGATTTCACAATGCAGAAAAAACATCTGATTTTCTGATTTTCAGAATCTACCAATCTATGTTCCCTTTTCATTAATTTACTAACACAGTTTGTAACCTCCAAATCATTATCTTCTTAAAACATCTATAACTGGTTAGCTTGTGTTGTCGTTTTGTTCATTTTGTGTCCCGGGGTCAGATTATTGTGTTTCTGTTGATGCAGTTACTTTCCCTTTAAGGTGAGGGGGAGGTTGCTTTATTTGGATTGGGCTAGGCCCTGTAGAGGGAGGTGAGGCGAGCCCGGAGGTCCTGGGCGTACGGGTCCAGCTTTACTCTCAGATCCTCAACATATGGGGCGGCCATATCTTGGATGTCGTCGGTGTATTGCTTCAGGGCAAAGGCCAGCTCCGTTTCTACACGCCAGGTCCCTCTGCTGACTTTTTGGATCATGTCCTTAGCTGCGGGGGGAAGCTGGGCGTGCACGGCTTCGGAAAAATTGTAGGCCTGGTCTTGCACTTCGAAGGCAAAATAGAAAGCCGCCTTTAACCCGTTTACCAGACGGGCGCTAGAAAGGAGCAAGAACAATGAGATGTTACCTTTAATTAGAATTCAGTGAGGAGAAATTGCATATTAGTTTGCAGTATGTTTTTTTTTTTTGCATCATTAGAATGTCGACAATGGTAACAATGGTCTTGTCTAGACTTACTTGACACCCTGGACAAACGGTGATTTGCTGATCATCAGGAGGGTGTCTTCAGCTGTCTCTTTTGCCTTGGCGATATAGTCCCAGAAGGCCTCAGTCAGCAATTCTATCTGTGGCTTGGGTGGGGCCATTTCTTGAACCTGATTGGCTCCCACCTTCAGCTTCAGGTCATCGGTGTAGGGTCCGAGCTGAGCATGCAGGTCCTTCACACTCTGCTTCAGCTCCTCGCTCTTTTGCTCCAGGGCGGCTCTCATGGCCTCGGTGTCAAGGGACTCAGCGTAGGGGGCCAACTCCTGTTTGAGCAGCTTCACTCTCTGCTGGATCTGGACCTTCATTTTGTCAGTGTAGGGCTTCAGGACGTCCTGGGCAGCGGCCAGCTCCCTTTCCACATGCCCCTTCAGCTCTTCGGCCTCTGTGATGACATTGTGGATCATGTCCTTAGTTGCAGGGGGAAGCTGCTCGTGCATGGTGAGCGCAGAATGGGCGGCCACATATTTAGTTTGATCCAGACGGGCACTAGAAAGGAGCAAGAACAATGGGATGTTACCTTTAATTCGAATTCAGTGAGGAAAAATTGCATATCAGTTTGCGGTATACTTTTTTTAATTTGCATCATTAGAATGTCAACAGTGGTAACAACGGTCTTGTCTAGACTTACATGACACCCTGGAAAAACGGTGATTTATTGATCATCTGGAGGGTTTCATCAGCTGTCTCTGTTACCTTGGCGACATAGTCCCAGAAGGCCTCAGTCAGCAATTCAATCTGTGGCTTGGGTGCATCAGCATATAAGATGTTGGCATTGCAGCCTGTTGAACAGACAGAAAAAACAGTTTTGAAGAACAGTTGGAAGGTTCAAAATATTTCAGAGTGTTTTCAGGTATTTTAACACAAAAAATATTCCGAAGGAGGTAAAGTGGCACTAACTTCCAAATCCCAGAGGCATGTGTGAGTGTGTGTGAATGAGCATTAGGTTAGATGATGAGCAGTCTGGCTCCTTATGTGGTCATCCATACAAGGTTCCATATCAGTACACACCAGTGTATTAATGTGTGTGTGAATCGGTTAATTTCCCATCCAAGGAATTGCTGGGTGGACCAATGATTTCAATGGTCCAAAAATCTCATTGCAATTCTATATTTTTCCTTGAAGTCTTTTGACTTGAGTGTACCAGTTGATGTCACGCTCCAAAACAAATAGGGATGTTTTTCCACCATACTCACCAGTGAAAACGGCAAGGACGAGCACAACAAGGACCTTCATGGCTCTTATATCTTAATAACAAGGAGATACAAAGATAGTTAGCAAAGCATGTTCACTGAGATTTTGTTTAAAAAGGAAAAATACAGAAGCTACTCCGAGCCAATCCCTCATTTCATTTCAAACCTTTATTTAATGACATTGGTCCCATTGAGATAATACATCTCTTTTTCAAGGGAGACCTGCAGCATATAGGTTCCACATGAAACATAAAACAATAAAGGACATCATACATTATATTTACAGGATACATTTACATAGTTATAGACATTTACAAGTGCCCATAGTATCAACGAGCATTTCATTTAGCCTAGCTTTAAAAACATGCAGAGGAATGAGATTGCTCAGTTTCAATTATTGCTGAAGATTGTTCCAAGCAAGTGGAGCTGCGCACATACAAGCTGTCTTACCTAAGACAGTCATTGCTCTTGGCACATCTAACAATACAACATCATGCGATCTCAGACAATAGCTGCTTGCAACTCTCTGTGTTATCAGAGAGCAGATATAATACGGGAGTTTACCCAACAAAGCTTTATAATCTCACCTGGGTTTGTTGTTGTATCTACAAATCCACTTGCACCAATGCACAGACACACCAAGCAAATCAGTTATTTTAAACAATTTCATATGTCAGTTATCAACTACCAAACACTATTGATTTAGTTATGTGTCTTTTATATTTATTTGGCCTAATTATATGTGATTCCTCTGCGTTAGAGTGTGACTCTTGACGGCTGCTCCATCTCTCCGTCCACTGAAGTCTGCAACCTGGGAGTCATCCTGGACACCACCCTCTCCTTCCAGGCTCACATCAAATCTGTCACCAAATCTGCTTTCTACCACCTCAAAAACATATCCAGACTCCGGCCTTCACTCTCTGACTCCGTGGCAGATACACTCATACACGCTTTCATCACCTCCCGCCTCGACTATTGCAATGGGGTCCAGTCCGGGGTTCCCAGCAAAGCCCTGGAGAGATTACAGTACGTCCAGAGCTCTGCTGCCAGGCTTCTCCTGGCAACACATCACCCCCACCCTAATCCACCTTCACTGGCTGCCGGTCAAGTCCCGGATTTAGTACAAAACCCTTCTCCTCACTTACACGTCTCTCCATGCCCTCGCCCCCCAGTACTTATCGGACCTCCTCCATCCCTACACCCCTTCTCCGAGTCTGTGGTCCTCAGACACGGGCCAGCTCTCCATTCCCCTCTGAACTGTTGGTGACCGGACGTTCAGTGTTGCGGCCCCCACCATCTGGAATGCACTTCCTGCAGAGATCCGCAATGCTGCTTCCCTGTACATCTTCAAGTCATCATTAAAAACTCACCTGTTCACCATGGCCTTTGACCCCTAACCCATCACAGTCCCCCTGCTTCCACTCCTACTGCTATTTATTTCATTTACATTGTTTTACTTTATTATTTGACCCTTTTGTTTGTTTGTTCACCATGTAAAGCGCTATAGAAATTGAATCTATCATTACTATTATTATTATTATTGTAATCACTTGTATGTTAGCTCTGCGTTGCCAGAGATAACGCTTTGCCAAGAATGGCAAAATCCCTCTTCTTATGTCTCTGATGTCCAGCTCTGATGAGATTTACAGTGTTTGATTTATTGTCACAATTAGCTTTCCATGTTGCCAACCAACTTCACCGTAGCTTATGGTTCTAGTCTGTGTCATGCTATGTCCTATGGGTCAGTTTGGCCAAAGGTCAGCAGACACTAACACCGTCAGCTTTCAGAGGACAAAGTAGCCTCAGTTTCACACAAGGCATACTATATATGCAGCATTGTAGTTTCATAAATGTTTTCTATAGACAGGATAAGCTCCTACTCACAACAGCTAAGACTTGAAAATGTAACATTTTAATGAAGCGATTGTTATCATTTTGCCTTGACAGTATTCTAAGACTTTTATACAAGTGCGCTAAACTTGTATATATATATATATATACTGTATATATATATTGTACATATCTTCTGCTTCTTTTGGTATTCAAAATATATTTAGTGCCCATGCAAAACCGGCCTTAGTCTATAGAATTTCTGCTTGAACAACTCGTAGAAACAACTTAACCCTCAACACTGCCTTCTCTTTGAGTCCTTATGATAAGTTGTGGCTTTTTGCATTTCTAAATAAATGTATGTATCGGGTTCCAATAAGAGATAGGCACTGGCTTTGAGATATCGGGTTATAAGGTAAATCATGGATTTAATTAGCTTGAACATTTTGCCTTTAGAAATGCCCTTTAATGTTTTGGCGTGGTATTGACTCTGTATTTAATATGTTACTGTACTTTTGTTTTCTGCTTCTTGTTGCTCTGCATTGCTTCAGGTATTGTCCTGAGAACGTCCGTATTTAGTTTCTGTCTTTGTCTTTTTTGTGTCTTGAAATCCTCTGTCTGTAAATCACTGGTTTTGACACAACAAATGCTCGGCTTACACTGGCACATTTACATAAATGGTAATTAATACATGTTGTAATTTCCTTGTATTTTAGGTAATTTTAATTTAAATGAAACAATGTGCTTTTACAAAACAAATATTCATTGCTACCAGTAATGACATAATCTAAGGATTTGCTGCACACAAGAAGTACGTTGGTTAGCAGCAAGGGCGGACTGGCCATCGGGACGTTCGGGACGAATCCCGATGGGCGGTACTGAAGTGGGCCGGTCGGACGATGTGGGCCGGCCGGTAACCCTAAATGGCCCGCTGGCCCGGAAGCACTATTTTAGACACCCCGGGCCAGCATAACGTAGCCCACTTTCCACTTAACCGCTCGGGCCACTAAACATATTGCTTTAAAAAAAAATGGTCCTGTGGTATTGGTATTTTGACTAGCAATTTAGTTAAATTGTTTCGTTTATCAACGCTACAACATAGCGTTTCGTGAGTCGGTTGTCGTTCTTGGGTGAAAAGCAAACAGCTGTTTGCTGCGGAGCGCAGCGGGAGCAGGCTCCCGTGAGCCGGAGCGCGCTCCTTCACTACAGACTATCGTGCCACCTAACCATTCGCCAAATGTTTTTAATACCAGCGGTAACCGGCCAAGCGCCGTGCAAAAAACAATCTTTAAATAAAAGAAAGTCACCGGAGGAGTTAAAGGAGAGTGACAGGGAGTATGAGAAGAAGAGGGAGAGAAAGTTTCAGCCAGCTTGATCGATGGAGTTGGCTGCAGTGACGCGTCCTAAAACCTTTTCTAATCTATCGATTAGATTTATGATTCGATAATTATAAAAGTAGGGTAGACATGTGGAGATTATCCGGCTGAACAAAACATGCATTTCTCAAACAGGTTTGTTTTCCACAGACCTTATTTCCAGCTATTTTCCAAAACCCTTGTCGAGGGAACCAGCACCTTACTTCCTGGTTTTAGGACGCGTCACTGGCAGCACCTCTCAATATGATGCCAATATAAACAAGGTCTTCTGTCGGCTCTGTACATCAATGCGGACCTATGCTGACAAGTAAGTGAAGAGTAGACCATATAAAGGTATTGGCAAAATGTCCCAGCAGTTTAGGATAATGAAGGTTCTAATCAAATCAATTACATAGCCATTACGTCTAACTCCTAATGACAGGAAGGCAGAAAGTGCATTATACAAATAATAATAGGCTATACTCATAATGATAGCAGACATTTTTTAACAATGACCACAATATCATTATTTTAATAAACCAAATATGAACAATTGAGGAAAATGAGGAAGAACTGATGATTAAAATGTTGTAGTAGCCTACAAGTAGTAATGTAGTTATGCATAAATTACTATTGCAACAAATGTGTTAATTTTCTTCATTATTAGTCGATTTTTTTTTGGACGAGTCCACCGGCCCGGAGGTAGACATTATTTACCCTTAATGTCTATCGCTAGTAAATTGTCTACCCCCCCCGTCGACAATTTACTAGCGATAGACATTAAGGGTAAATAATGTCTACCTCCGGGCCGGTGGACTCGTATTATCACTGGCCCCACCATTGTAACCACTGGCCCAGAGCATTCGTCCAAAAAAAATGTTTACTTGCGGTACCGCGGTGGGCCGGCGGTACCGAAGTGGGCTGGTCGAGAATCCCGGGCTGATTTGTAGTCCCAGTCCGCCCCTGGTTAGCAGTCTTGCATATATAAATAAGAAGATGAATACCACTCTCATCATGCCTGGGTTTTAAAATGATGCTACAGTACAAAGTCTGAAATCAGGGATAATAACTATCCTGGCTCCGTCAAGACTTTAAAAAACAATACCTACCAGAACCTCTAAACCTTGCTAATTAAGTCTCAGACAAAACCCTTTGTAGCCCTCTGTAGTAAACACAACTTAATATTTGTACAACTTGTTTATTTAAACAATCTTGATCGAACGAGTTGAGTACGTGTTGGTTTCACTTGTGGACAGGAGATACAGAGTGACTAAGTTATGAAAAACATGCCAGTCTCCTTTAGTATGTTCTTCTTTTAAAAATAACTTCCTTTTCATACATTCATAAAGTATTCAGAATGATGTGTGACAAATATATAACTGTAGATTATTTGATTTATAAATACAATCATTAGTTTCTTAATTAAGAATGCATATTACACAACATTTCTTCAGTACACTTTAGTTACCAAATGTTTTCACCTGTCTTGCTTTCACGAGTAATTATAGGTGATGCAAAGTAAACTCATGAGCTTCAGTGCAGCTCATAATGTGTTTACTGCTTCAATTTGTCTTTTTAGTTTTTCAAGTCCACTTTCCCCAGTCTGATTTCACAATGCAGAAAAAACATCTGTTTTTCAGATTTTCAGAATCTACCAATCTACGTATGTTCACTTTTCATTAATTTATTAACACAGTTTGTAACCTCCAAATCATTATTTTCTTTAAAGATCTATAACTGGTTAGCTTGTGTTGTCGTTTTGTTCATTTTGTGTCCCGGGGTCAGATTATTGTGTTTCTGTTGATGCAGTTACTTTCCCTTTAAGGTGAGGGGGAGGTTGACTTATGTTGATTTGGCGTTTGCCTCGTAGAGGGAGGTGAGGTGGGCCTGGAGGTCTTCGGCGTAGGGGTTTAGCCTTACTCTCAGATCCTCAACGTATGAGTCGGCTATTTCATGAACCTTTTTGGCTCTCTGGATCATTTGATCTTCAACCCACTCGGTCACGGGGGCCACACGCTCCTGGAAGTCCTGCAGGTGCTGGTCCACCTTCAGCTTCAGGTCATCAGTGTAGGGTCCGAGCTGAGCATGCAGGTCCTTCACACTATGCTTCAGCTCCTCGCTCTTCTGCTCCAGGGTGGCTCTCACAGCCTCGGTGTCAATGGACTCAGCGTAGGGGGCCAGCTTCTGTTTGAGCTGCTCCACTCTCTGCTGGATCTGGACCTTCATGTTGTCAGTGTAGGGCTTCACGATGTCCTTGGCAGCGGCCAGCTCCCTTTCCACACGCCCCTTCAGCTCTTCGGCCTCTCTGATGACTTTGTGGAACATGTCCTGACTTGCAGGGGGAAGCATCTCGTGCATGAAGAGCAAAGAATGGGCGGCCACATATCTAGTTTCTTTCAGATGTTCACTAGAAAGGAGCGAGACAAATGGGATGTTACCTTTCATTCGAAATCAGTGAGAAAAATTGCATATCAGTTTGCAGTATACCTTTTTTTGTTTGCATCATTAGAATGTCGACAATGGTAACAATGGTCTTGTCTAGACTTACTTGACACCCTGGAAAAACGGTGATTTATTGATCATCTGGAGGGTGTCATCAGCTGTCTCTGTTGCCTTGGCGACATAGTCCCAGAAGGCCTCAGTCAGCAATTCAATCTGTGGCTTGGGTGCATCAGCATATAAGATGTTGGCATTGCAGCCTGTTGAACAGACAGAAAAAACAGTTTTGAAGAACAGTTGGAAGGTTCAAAATATATTATAACCCAAAAAATATTCCGAAGGAGGTAAAGTGGCACTAACTTCCAAATCCCAGAGGCATGTGTGAGTGTGTGTGAATGAGCATTAGGTTAGATGATGAGCAGTCTGGCTCCTTATGTGGTCATCCATACAAGGTTCCATATCAGTACACACCAGTGTATTAATGTGTGTGTGAATCGGTTAATTTCCCATCCAAGGTATTGCTGGGTGGACCAATGATTTCAATGGTCCAAAAATCTCATTGCAATTCTATATTTTTCCTTGAAGTCTTTTGACTTGAGTGTACCAGTTGATGTCACGCTCCAAAACGGGATATTTTTCCACCATACTCACCAGTGAAAACGGCAAGGACGAGCACAACAAGGACCTTCATGGCTCTTATATCTTAATAACAAGGAGATACAAAGATAGTTAGCAAAGCATGTTCACTGAGATTTAGTTTAAAAAGAAAAAATTCAGAAGCTACTCCGAGGCAATCCTTCATCATCTCACCTGAGTTTGTTGTTGTATCGGCAAATCCACTTGGTACTGCTTGTGAGGTTCTGCAGCTTATAAAGCAATCCGGACTCTAATGATCCCAAAGTCCAGGGGTGAGTGTCTTGCTGTCACCTTGCCTCACCCTGCTATCCTCACAGAAACTCAGTGCCATGCACCACGCAGCAATCATGCACAACCCGATATTGTTGCACCAATGCACGGACACAACAAGCAAATCAGTTATTTTAGACAGTTTCATATGTCAGTTATCATCTTCCAAACAGTATTGATTTAGTCATGTGCCTTTTTATATTTATTTGGCCTGATTATGTGTGATTCCTCTGTCTTAGAGTGTGACTAAATCCTCAAGTGTAACCTTGAATGGACCTTGTCCTCAAAAGCCCTCCTGTCCTCAAAGGTATGTCAGTCGCACAGCTCTTGCCTGGTTTGAGTCCTACCTCTCAAACCGGAAACACTTTGTCACCATCAGTGACTGCAGTTCCCCTTCGGCCTCAGTCAACCAAGGTGTACCTCAAGGCTCTGGGCTTGGACCAACCTGATCTCACCAGAATGCGTGACTCAACCAATACTCCTTAACACCGCATTGCGTGGTGGAGTCACAAACTTTGCTACATATACGTGTCTGCACCACGCAAACAACCCCAATGTAAAGTGAATGAGGCTCCTTTGTCGTGGTGCACACACGCATTTCTACAACGTCCTGCAGTGAGCTTTTATTATATAAAACGTTTTTAAAATCTACTTTATAGCTTGTGGTAACTCACGGGAGGCTTCTTTTATTTTATTTGTATTCATAATAATTTGTATTTTTCATCAGAATGCATTATGGCAACCCTGTCTCCTAAAGATTACGTTCCCACAGAACAAAACTGCATTCTCAATTACGTTTAGCTAGAAACTTATTTTCTCCCACGTTACGTTCGTTATGAACGTATCTTAAATGCGTTTATTTTCTACATATCTTTGCCATTTATTGTCTTGCTTATATTAATGATAATAGTCATTTGTAAATATCATTTTAGAGCACACATTTGAAATCAGTAGGCGAGGCTGTCATTTCGCCAGCTGTTACTCTCATGAGCGAGGTAGAAAATAATAGTTGTAACATGCCAAAAAGCTGCTGTGTCGTTTATTGCACCTCAAACATTAAAACAAATCCAGAGTTACGTGTTTCTGTACTTCCTCTAAGAAGAAAGGACAGTAACAGAAGATCTCTGTGGCTTCAGGCTTGATCGCCGTTCAAATGACAGCGTTGGTTTCCCAAAAAGTGGGCGGCGCTGTAAAGTGAAGTAGATTTTACTCATCTATTATTCAAAACCATTCTATTTATTCTAACGTAAATGACATGCCAGTGTTTTATCTTTTTATTTTTTTATTTTTAAATCGTATAATGTCGGACTTTTTTTTCCGTCTGTGAGGAAAATAAATGGGGCTCAGAGCCTCAAAATACTGAAATCTGTATTTTTTAAAATCTTTTTTTCCTTCTAATTTGTTATTCTTTTCTAAATAACACACTGTTATTTACTCAACAATAACACACAATTATCCTTGTTTTTATTTATTCGTTTAATTCTATAATCTTGGGCTTTTTAGCATGCTTGTTAGCCGTAAATAAAGTCACCGGAAACAGATGTAGGCTTATAAGAGACATTTCGAGCGATACACACCACAAACCACCCATAACAGATTACCCAAGATCCTCAGCTTGAAGCTCGTTGATTGGATGTTTTAGCAGCAATGCATGTTGGGATATGATGTTAATACGATATGATATCAAAAAATAAAAAATACTTTATTCCGAGTGTTCTTGCTTTTCTCTTTGGAAGTCATCACATAACTGCATTGTAATACAATATTACACATCTGCCGTAGTTCTTTATTTATAGAGCCCTGATGAGACGACTTCTGGACAAACTGGAGAACTGCCGCCAAAACTGAATATGTGACGTGGATCATAAATATATCAACAATTAAACAACATCTTGCATTTCTTTTCACAAAATACGTCTCCTTGCAGTATCAACACTAATTCGGATGATTTTTATATTTGATCCAATTGGTAGATAGGCTGTATTTACACCATAACGGTGCACAGCTGATAGAAAAGGACTTGTAGTTTTTAAAGATATTACTGATTTTCTTTGAATATAAGAATGTAAATACTGAGTTGAGAGAATAGTCAGGGGATTTGGGTGATGGGAGACACACCTATGGAATCACAATTTCAATAGCTTACCATTAAATTGTTTTGTTTATCAACGCTACAACATAGCGTTCCGTGAGTCGGTTGTCGTTGTTGGTGACGGATATACCTTTCTGTCTGTGATGTTTTACAAATCAGATATTAATGTGTAGAAGTAAAACATGAGAAATAGTATAGCAATATCCTGTAAAATTATGTAAAAACATGAATAAAACTAGTAAACTACACATCTTCAGATGTTATACATACATAAGTGTCCTACACTAATAATACAAAGTTATTATTAGTATGCTGTGTGTACCTTGTGTGCACCGCCTAGTGGTTAAAGCATGTTATTGAATTATTTTTGTTGTATAATGTTATTTTTGTTGAATAATGTTATTTGATGAAACAAATATTAAGAGCACATACTTTCATAGGGGGAAAGTAGAAGGTCAATGATAGAAATATAGAATATCAAAAATCAGGAAGATACTGTAAGTGATCTCTACAATAATACAGTTTAGTGCTGGATGTACAAAGATATTAATATGAGGATGTGCAAAACAGACAAACTAATTAACCTTTATTAACACATTAAAGAATACTTTAGGTCTTCTTTCAAATAAGAAAAAAGCTTTGGGGGTATCTATCGACAGATATATATATTAAGCCTGACAAAGTACTTAACGTCTAATATATTGCTTTCCTGCAATGTTAACTATGTTGAAGCACTTATTTTAACTGATATTATACACATTAATTATACTCTTATGTCTGTAGATAGTATAAGAAATGTGCAGCATTTGACAGTTTAATGGTGGAGGTATACACACATATTGATAGATGTCTTGTAATGCACTGTTGCATAACTACACTGTAGTTGTGTATATGATATGTCAATAAACCTTAGGAAATCTTGAAAGGGATGTGCAAAATAGCAATTATATACAGTTTTTAATTAACTATTAGTAGAGAATAACGAGTAATTAATATACTTTATAGAGATCTGCAGATAAATGTTTAGTCTTCTCAAGCACCAACTATCAAATATCTCTCCTGATTGTTGGCACTTGACAATCACCTTACCTGAATTTCACTCAGGTGTAACTAAAGTCTGATTTAAGGGTTGTTTATATTTCACATCATTAATCAGAATCTGCAAAGTAACTAAAATAAATGTAGTGGAGTAAAAATACCAGGTTGACCTCTGAATTGTAGTGGAGTAGAATAACAAAGTAACAATGAGCTGTCATGTGGGTATATATTAATGCTGCCCATTATGGATACAATCGATTTTCACCCATTTAGTAATTACATGTTTTCAATTTGTACACCAATTTGTTTCCTATGGCTTAAACCTCCAGGGCTGTACACAGTTTAATACTGTCAACTTCTAATTTTGGGAAAAACAAAAAAGTCTTTTAAAACTACAATTCCCAGTAGAGACGTGCCATAGAGAACATGTTGCGAAACACAATAGCCAGCATGTGTAGTTCTGGGGGGGTGTTCGAGTCCAGTTTTGAATAGTCTGCCGTGGTTTCGTTCCATTTCAAAGAGCTTGACGCTCGGCGTAACCTTGGCGCACTGCCACTCCAACATCCAATCCCAGAGCTTGAAGATTAATCACGGGGTTTGTCAACGGGACTGCAGTCCCAAACGATAGCTGGGGATTATGGGTAGTGTAGTGCAGTGGTTCCCAAACGGTGTGCCGTGGGATTTTGTGACAACCATACGTTATTATTGCAATATACAACTACACAAAAATAATTATTTTTTTAATTTACTATATCAGTACTTTGTAGGTTTATATGTACGTAATCTGCGCGACTTGCGCGTCCACATCTCAACGTGCAGTGCTGCATAAACATGGCTGAGTCAGCGATAACTCTCGAGGGGTGGAGGTATGCCCATTATTTTGAGTTCGTCCGAAGAATAGACAGGAATGTGACGGTGAGGTGCAAACTGTGTCCAGGCCAGAAGCTGTTATCCACTGCTGGAAACACCACGTCAAACCTCAACACACACCTGCAAAGAACACATGCTAAGGTGAAGCTACCGCACACGCTATTTGTTGTTTGTTTATATCACGTAGTCTGTTCTTCTTCTCTGTCTTCCGGTTGTTGCCTGTTTTGAATGACAAATACACACTAGCGCCGCCTGCTGGTAAGGAAAGTTATTGCCACTCAGGCATGTGCAGTTCGTACGTGCTCGGCGAGTATAGTAACGAGTTACTTTATGTAGATAGTAACGAAGTAGTGTAATATATTACTTTTTTAAAAGTAATATGTAATATATTACATTTTTTTAGTTACGACCCCATCTCTGGAGTTGGCGTTCTCTACTCTGATTTACATGAAGAACAACAGGAGGCCACGGCTCTCTGTTGAACAGGACTTACAAGTGGCCCTCTCCTCAGTGCCACCAAGGATTAAAAAATTCTGCGCGCCCCGACAGGCATATGTATCTCATTAATTTGCAAGTCGGCAAAATATTTACAATAGCACATGTTTCAATGCTGATTGCTGAAATGTTACATTTATAATTTGTAGTTCAGGACCATGGACAATGCAGCTTCCTTGCATTGACAGTTCTCTGTGCTGAATTTCTACTGAGTTTCTTTTGCCTCATTTTTAATGTTGGGACCTGTCTGGTTTAAATGAGTGTGTTGCTGCTTTGATGAAGCCTAATTTGATAAAGTTTCAAATTAATTTCTGAAATATTTCGTTAATAAATATTTCATGAGTAATATAGTTGTCTTTGTCACATTTTATTTGGCATTAGTAAATAATTATGCACATTTACAGATATTTTACATGATATGAGTGATAACACATGTTATAAGGGCTATTTTGCACAATAGGTGTGCCTTGAGATTTTTACCTGTCCTTTGGTGTGCCTTGGGCACAACAAGTTTGGGAACCACTGGTGTAGTGTCTTCGGCCATCCTAAACTGATTTTTTTTTCCAGATATCATATCGCATTAACAACACCACATCTGGCGTCACAGAGATCTTCTGTTACTGTCCTTTCTTCTTAGAGGAAGTACAGAAACACGTAACTCTGGATTTGTTTTAATGTTTGAGGTGCAATAAACAACACAGCAGCTTTTTGGCATGTTACAACTATTATTTTCTGCCTCGCTCATGAGAGTAACAGCTGGCGAAATTACAGCCTCGCCTACTGATTTCAAATGTGTGCTCTAAAATGATATTTATAAATGACTATTATCATTATTATAAGCAAGACAATAAATGGCAAATATATGTAGAAAATAAACGTATTTAAGATACGTTCATAACGAACGTAACGTGGGAGAAAATAAGTTTCTAGCTAAACGTAATTGAGAATGCAATTTAGTTCTGTGGGAACGTAATCTTTAGGAGACAGGGTTGCCATAATACATTCTGACGAAAAATACAAATGAT